GTGGGCACCGCGGTGTAATCCAAAAACAAGGGGCTTGGAGTGGGGCAGGGACGCCTCCCTCCCAGCTCTGCAAAACAAAGATGGCAGCGCCCACCAGACATCATGCTGCCAGGTCCGAGAGAGTGTTTTCACAACAGCTGGCCTGGAGCCTGGCATCACAATCAGTAGCTTTACTCCTGAGTGACAAATGGGTTTGCTAAGGGACAGAGGTCAAAGGCAACAACCCAGAGCTGCCAGAAGCAAAAGTGTAAAAGTTACAGTTAGAACTCACGCTGCTCATAAAAGTTCTAAACTTAGCAGCCCCTCCAAGCACAAGGAGTCGTCCATTTCAGTGTTTCCCAGTCTGGGTTGCCCTATAATCGGATTGTTCCCCCGAAAGGAAGGATTTAGCCAGGTTGCTCATTCTGTGGAATCTGCAGCATGTAAACATTTGAGAATTTTATGTGACAGGTCCTTTAATAACAAGCCGGATCACATCACATCTCTGTGCAAAGCCCTTCAGTGGGTTCCCCGTTTCATTCAGCTAAAAGCGGAAGTCTTACAATGGCCCACGAGGCCGTATATGACAATCCCTTTGCTCCACTTTTTCTGATTTCAACTCTGCAGCTCTTTCCCTTTGTCTCCCCCAACCTGAGCCACTGGCCTCCTACCTTCCTCGCCTCCCTCAGAAGGACCGTAATCTTGCCTTCTCCAAGAGTAACTTTGACTGCTCCTTACCCCTCTGTGTTGCCTACCCTGAGCTATTTATTTTACCTCTTCTAGTTCTTTTACCAATAGCACTCATCACCTTCTATCATGCTACTAAATGTACTTTTTAATGTGTATTTCTTAGTATCTGTTTTGTCTTGCTGGAATGTAAGCTCTAAAAAGCAGTGTTCTCTGCTCTGGTTGGCGTGGCTCAGGTAGCTGGGTGTCGTCCTGCAAACTGAAAGGTTGCTGGTTCGATTCCTGGGCAAGGCATATGCCTGGGTCGTAGGCTCTGTGCTCTGCCCCCTTCAGGACACTTGCAGAAGGCAGAAGGCAACCAATCAATGTTTCTCCATCTCATTGATGTTTCCCACCCTCTTTTTCTCCCTCCCTTCTTAAAGCATTTTATTTTGTCTAAAATAATATTAAAAAATTAAGAAGCAGTGCTCTTTATGTTGCTCATGGGTATATCCAAGGACATGGATCAATGCTTGGCCCATAGGAAAAATGGGCATAAGACATTGACCAGCGATACATGCAAGTGTACACTTGAAGAGAGAGTAAAATTTAAGAAAGAGGCAAATCCTCACCAGTGATCAGAGAAACGCAAACAAAGATATTTAGATTTCCTTTGAAAGTCTGACACAAGTTGGACAATAGTCACAAAAGCAACTCTTTCATGCCTGGCGCACCCTCTCCGGAGGGGAATTTGACATTGTCAAACAAAGCTGAAGGTGCAGTAACCGAGACTCAGCAAAGCCACACCTAGAACGACTCCGAAAGAAACTCTGTCACAGTGGACCAGGAGACAGGTACAGAGATGCTGGTTGGAATGCAGTCGGGAACGCTGAACCATTTGAAGAGAACTTGTATTTCCCCCTTTAGGAGAGGAGATACCACGGTGATGGCACATTTGTACGGCAGTCGGCTCCAGTCAACGCACATGAATCAACCGACTTCCAAAGAAACGCCGAGTGCGAAAAGCTGAAGGTTGAAAAGCACAATGTGATGTTATTTGTTAGTCAAAGATTAACAGCCTACAACATAATACTATACATTGTTAACCGAATTCATGATTAACTCCTTAACTGGGTATAACACCCTGCATTTTATAAAGGCCAAACTTCCTCTCTCAGTGTGAAAACTTTCCCTTACCCAGTCCTTGACTCTGCTCCAAGTTTGGATGAAGTTCAGTGGTTCTGCCCCAGGTATAAAGAATGGCAAGTTGTGCCTCTGAACTGTTTCCACGTTAGTTTCACATAAACAGACTTGTTTTAGTTGACTGTTAGGGAGGGCTGCCCTAAATCTCCAAAACTGCACACAATGTTTGCATTAAATAATCTAGGTCATTAGAGTTCAGCCATGACTTTTCTAAAAGGCTGTTTTCATAGACTTTATCTTGTTCCATGTGACATATCTCCAGCAATAGACCATTTTAGTTGTTTGCAGATACAGCTTTCAATTTTGGAGGAAATAGAGCCATACTGTGTTCTTATTTGCTAGATTATCAGAAAAAGACCAACATTTAAAGATACGATCTAAATATGTGAAGCTTTAAGTACCTAAACAGTTAACTCGTACACTTTCTATGCCAGCAACTTCATTTGTTATTTGAAACAGGGCAAAACAACATATCAGTTTCCAAATGCTCCATAAATACCTATTTTTTTCTTCTGATACGTTCCAATTTTTCACTGAATGCTTTACTGAGGGTGGAAATGACCAAGAAAGTTCCTGGCTCACAGCATGAATTCTTCTCTTTTAAAGTGTGAATGTGTCTCTTTTGTAGTAAACATGGACAGAACAAGATTAGGTTGGTCTTAGAAAAACTGGTTAAGAAGAAACAGCTTGTCTGTGTTCTTCAACTTCATCCAAAAGCCTTCCCTCATTGTAACTCCTACTAATAATGACCCTCCTCTGTTAGTTATTGTCTAGCTGTTAGCCACCTTGGTTCCAGGGGTTATTAATTTCTGTCCCTGAGTTTATCTCAGAGGTTTCGTGATCATGCTGCAATCGTTAGTGAAAATAAATGTGCATATAGATTTTTCTATAGAAAATTTTCAGAGCTTTTGACAGATCCTCTAAAAAGTCAAGCACTGGAAAAAAAGTTAAAAAATAATGTTTTAAGTACCGAGCATTGCTTCCAGCAGCGATTTTCACAGAGTGCATAAGATGCTAATCTCTCAGCTCCATCTCCACACAATTCTGACTCAGCTGATCTGTGGTAAGATTTGGGAATCCGTATTTTTAAAAAGTACTTCAGTACATCTTGATGCAAGTGAATCCTGGTGCAAGAGTTGACACTAATCTGCAGAATAAAATTTAGATTTTTTCAGAGTTGCCTTCATGGTCTGTGTCCCTAATCAATCTTTCTAGTCTTATCTTATTTGTTCCACTACTCACACTGCCTTACAAACATACTGACCATTCTTCTACTCATTTATTCTCGCATTTAAAGAAGAGCTGTTGGCTTCATGATAGAGGCCCCGTGCTAGCTTCAAAGATGCAGTGGTTGGCAAAGACTGTAGTGACAAGAAACAACCAGCTTTTCTTCACATTTGACCTCCCTTTTCACCTGGTGAGTATCTGCTAATCCTGAGAGACCAGTGCAAATATTAACTTAATTGTACTACCATTCTAGATCTCTGGGGCATATTTCTTTTTGCTTTTTCTCAGAGGAGTCCAAGCATTTTTCACACCTTAATTATACTCTTATGCAAATACTTGTTCTGGTTTCGGGATTCTGGGCTTCTCCTGATTAGGAACCACGTAGAAGTCTTTAATGAATGCATCTGGCTCCCTCCGGGTCTAATGCCAAATCTTCAATGATAATTGATGAGTGGGTGAGGAAAACATCAGGTTTTCATCCCTACTGAGAGTACATGCATTTTAGTGAAACAGTGTTGAAACCTAAAAAGTCCGTGAATCCACAAGGAGAAAGAGTAAAGGAGTACCCTGGTCAGAATCCTCTGCACGCTGGTGCACTAGGAGGCAAGATGCACTGGTCAGTGAATTTTCACTGAGTCTGGCCAAACATCTGAAGAAGTAGCTCCCCAAGAGAGTCTGTTGTCTTGCAGAAGGATGGGAATACAACCAGGCATTGTCCCCAAGTGACTAGAATAATCTCCAGCTTACAGTAAACACTGCAAACTACCCCAGAACTAGTCTTCCTATCACAATTTTAAGGGTACGAACACTGGTGGAGTACCAGAATTTTACCAGATTTGGGAAAGAAAACAAACAGGGAAAAGCCAAGTCTATCTATGGTTGGTTTTATCCTTAATGTCCATCAGAAAATCTGTAAGTTGCAATGAAATAAGGCAGCATTTTTTGAGTCTTGGAAGTGAAGTTCAAGCCACAGAACATGTCTGGTGAAGAAAAGTCATTTGGTAACAACTAAACCAATACTTACTCTTCTATTAATTCAGCAGCTACATATTAAGCATGCCTTTCAGGGCCAGGGATAAAAAAAAATATATATATAAGTAAAACATGATTTTTTTGTTCTAAATGAGTGCCTAAATTTAGTCATGAGCTTGATATTTTAAAGTATTCACATGGGCCTAAGAATAAGCTCCACTACAAGTAATCTGTATAACTTCACTACTTTTATTTTATGTATGCTATGAAATTATAAAATTTTGAAATGCTGGAAAGCATATCTCACAACAGTAGAAATATTTTCTTTTTAAACCATGGTTCTTTAAGGATGTACTATTTGAATTCTGAAACATATAGATTCTTTTTTTTAAAGATTTTATTTATTTATCTTTAGAAGGGAAGGGAAAGAGAGACGGAGAGAAACATCAATGTAGGGTTGCCTGTCGTGAGTCCCCTGCTGGGAACTGGCCTGCAACCCAGGCATGTGCCCTGACTGGGAATTGAACTGTGATCGTGTCGTTTGCAGGCCTGTGCTCAATCCGCTGAACTACACCAGCCAGGGCGAAACTTATAGATTCTTAACCTTTATTCAGTTTGAAGCTAGCTTCATTGCTAAATAGAATATTTTTCCTGTGTGTTGGGACATTGGTTTTCCATGCTTTGTATATACGTATACACACACGGAGGGCGAACATGGGGGCGGCAATCACTTAAATACAAGACACGTGTGTGGTCCTGGCGTGTGGTGAAGTTGCTCTCCACAATTCTTTTTAACTCCCCACCCCAAAGATCAGAATCTGGAGGTCAGTAGACTGAATCAAACAGGTAGGTTTTTATTTTTCAAACTAAATTTGAACTTAAAATTGTAACCACATTTAAAAACTGTATTATTTCACATGAAAATTCTAATTTCTGGCTTCTCTCAAAAATAGTCATAAGTCCCGGCCACCCGGTGCCAACTTTCCTGGGAGGCCACGGTCAGCGGAGCAGGGCCCCTCGGTGGCCGGCCCCTGCAACAGCGCAGAGAATCCTCGGGCCGTCCCTATGTTCCCGGACATCCCTGAGAGCCCGCGGAGTTTTCCAAGTTTTAGCCTCTCTTCTTCAAAACTGTATTTCCAGTGTCTGAGAAAGTGGCCTTATATAGAACACCCACACATACCGGACCGCCCCTTCTAATGTGCCGCAATATCCCCAAAGGCTGAGTTATTCCTGGGTGACTACAGCATCTCCTGCAGGTGGAGTGAAGGACAAAAGAAAGAGGAGACACAGCAGCTGATGGGCGCGGGAACTCACACAGACGCTCACAGCTTTCTGCCCCAGGAGGGCTCCCGGACACCGTGCTCGCGGGAACTCCCGGGGCCCTTTCCCATCTTCCTCTGCAATTCGTTTCAGAAGTCAGAAGCAGGCCCCACTAAATTTAGCTCTATGTAAGGAAATACGTGTTCATCTACACCTGAAGGGGGACAACTGACCATAGAGGCCATTCCCAAACTCTAGCAAGCACCCGAATCCCACAGAGGGTTTATTAAAACAGATGTCTGCATCCCACCTCCTGAGTTTTTGATTCGGTACATCTGCTGGAGCTGAAGAGTGTGCATTTGTGACAAGTTCCCACAGAATGCTGATGCTGCTAGTTTGGGGACTTCCTTTTGAGATTCACTGGCCTACAGACAACTATAGAGAACTTTTTAGATTTCTCTGGATACTGTAAATACCAGATTATGCAGAAAGGGTGAATGCAGGTAGTATCTGCTAGCAAGCATCTTGATGGCATTCACAGGGCAGAAGCTGAATCCCCAGCAAATTATGCAAAATTATTAAAATAAGTACCTGTATGCTACTGCTAAGTTGCTATGCCCCCTTCAACCACTTGTGATAACCCATAGATCAGCTGTGTAATTCTAACAGAGACAAACAAACAGGAAAAATAGAGACAGTACTTAGATTTCTTTCTGTAACTAAGAGACTGTTTCTTTTGATGTGTTTTGAAAATTGAAAGGGATCTTCAAAACCACATGGTGGCAGTGTAATCACATGAGTGACAGTTTCATGGAGTGGCAGTGGAGTTTCTGAATCCATTGCGTGTGGAGAGATCATCCTGAAAGCTAAGCATCTGAGATTTTGGCTTAACAATGATTGGCCCATAAAGTGTAGATGACAAGTTGGAGTCACTCAGATACCTCTACAAAAAACCTCAGTCAGAGCTTTCAATGTTTTTACAGTGCCTCACATAGAATACATTTTCCCCCTCTGCTGTGTCCTAGTGTGAAAACAACTTCACAAGAACAAGCAACGGATCATTTCATGCATGAGCTGTGTAACGAATTCAATCCAAAATAATTCCTCCAGTTTAGCAAATTACTGTGGGAGAGCAAATTCACATATAGACTGTAATCATTTTTGAACAGCGAATGTATTTTTTCTCTGGCATTGCTTAGTTTTAGGTATTTGCATGCCTATAAACTTCTCACGACCAAGTAAAATGGAACTTTCCTAGACTTGTTCACCGAAATATCTACTCTATCTAGACTTTTCTTTTTCTAGTGAGATTTTAAGATGACATGAAGTCTTTGGTGTATTTTCATTTGGCTGGTTTTACAGATACAATACAGTTACATTAACCTGTATTTTATACTCTATATAACCTCTATAAGGAATACAGGATTCTTAGGAGAACAAGGTTCTGTTGAAGTAAAAAATACTGTTATTCCACTCCTTGTCTTATAAGAATGTAGGGGCGACTTTTCTCTTGAGTCCCCCTGGTGCCACGGACACAAGTGAGTGAATAATTATGGCTGAGACATGATGAGATCTGTTTAGGGGAGGTTGAGTGGGCTGTGGCCAGTTTCTCTGGGGAGAAAGAGGCCAGCAGCAGCCAGTTTCTCCGAGGAGAAAAAGGCCCGGAGCGCCCTCTTCCATAGTCTTTTATTGGGTTGTAATACACAGGAATACAGGGCAGCAAGGATCAAACAGTAGATAACATTCCAAAGAGATCCGAGGGCTTCGGAGTCAGTGTCTGTCAGGAAGAGAGTTGCAGAAACTTTGGGAGACACACTCATTTCCTCTCGGACCCTTATCATATGAATGAAAGCACTCTTAGCAGAGCAGATTTCACAGGTTTATCAGGAAGTCTTTGTGGTGCCAGATTTTTTCCCCAGGGCATGCTCTGGCCAGGCAAGGAGCTGCACCCCTCCCCATCAGGTATTCAGGCTTAAGGGGATTAGAGCCGGGAAGCACTTCTCTCAGAGAACATGGGGACTCTGGCTTTGACAAAGCCCGGGGGTGAGAGTCCATTGCTCTTTGTTGTTGCCCCCCCAGTCCTTCCATGAAGGCCTCCCAGGTGATCAAGTCTGGGTTAGGTTGCCCCCCCTGCTGTGAGGGGTCTTACCCATCATCGAATTCCGACCAAGCTCTGGGGGCAGGGAGAGGAACTGAGGCAGCGTTTGCTACCAGAGACAGGCTTTGTCTCCTGCGACTGGCACTCCAAAGGTCATCTCTCGCCCTTAGCCACAAGGGGTAGAGATACAATTCCTAAAATTAGGCAGAGTGGTTACAACATAAGAATACACCCTGTTTTGTTAGCAGAGATGGCAGATTCCTGGGGGTGAGGGGTGGAGGGATGGCTTAATATTAAATATTGAAAACACTACCTTATTTGCATCTGGATATGATGCTCTAGTCACCCTAACAATGGAAATAGTCAAATAAAACTATTGCAAATGCCAATAGAAGGGAACAAAGAACCTAGAAACTTCATGCACTGCAAGGTTTGGTTCCATTTTGCTGACAAAATCTGCTTTTGCCCAAAGATGATGGGACCCAAAAACATCAGCAACCAGACTAAAGTGGGGAAAAAAGGAAACTTTACTTTTTCCGCACACTGTCGCTATGCTTCCTCCCGAGCATGCGCAGACTTCTCACACCGCCACAGGCATCCTGATTCCGGTTTTGGCTGCTGAGCTTCGGTTTGGGATCAAAGGTTCCCTCTGGGCATTCTGAATCAGACAAAAACAAAACGAAACAGAAGACAAACAGACAAACCCTCTGGGACGTGTACTGTGACAGAGCTTTCCCCAAACACAGAGATCTGAGGGGGAAGTTACCTTAACCCAGAAAAAGACAAGACTCGAGGTCTTAAATGACCTCCCCAAATGCAGACAGGAAAACGGTATTTTGAGGATGGAGCTGTGGTTCTGACACGGGGGACACGTGCTGCACTTTACTGCCGTGTGTGCTCGGCGGAGTGGGAGCTCAGCGAGCCAGCCAGCGCCCTAGGGCCTCGCGGCGCAGCAGCGGCTCAGCGGTTTCAGAGGTTCAGCTCCCCTGGTCCTCATTGCCATTCATGGGCTGCACAAAGTCTTCGGAATTTTTTATGGGCCCCACATTATCGGGGTTTTGAACCTGCTCTACTACTCGACTGATTCCTTAGTCAGCCAGCTTGTTTCATATAGGAGTCCCAATTTTATTCTCTTCTAGAACCTCAAGATCAAGTTTTCAAAGGATGGTTAGGAAGACTCAGAAAAACTACATGCACTCTGCAACAAAAATCCGTCTTATGCATGTATTCAGCCATACATGGGGCCAAGCCTGTAGGGGGTGGGAATTATTACCCCCACTTTGGATATACAGAAATTGGCACTTAAGAAAGGTCAAGTGACTTGTCCAAGGATCACACAGTTATAGATGTCAGGGCTGGAACCCCTACCCAGGTTGGTTTGGCAGCTCTAAAGCCTGTGTTCTTTCTTACTTATTAACAGAACTGAAAGACTTGTCGGCATGACACTTCCTACCTTCAAACAGCTATTCTTCTCCCCACATAGTCTTCCCATAGCAGGACTAAGAGGAACAAATTATTTTTTTTTGCCAAGCATATATTATAAGCAGTTTATAAAAAGTAGATTCTTTCTCCATGTAAATGCTACTTATTTTTAATACTGACACATATGTTAACATTTAAAGAACATTCCATGTAATATTTATGTGCATAATATGTATTAGCAATATGGCGTCGGACAGTTGCAATTTTATCAAAGCTCAATTACTAGAATTACTGTATGAGCTATCATTCTTTTTGACAATTCAATCAGGCTTCAAAATTTCTAAAGAAGTTTAACTTGCCTCACTGATTGATTTATTCATTATTTATACCATGTCTATTTCCAAAAAAGGATTTAAAATAACTTATACAAAATGAGAGACCTGTAAAATAGAACCATTAAAGCAAGGATGAAAAAATAATAACCATGCAAGAAAATGGACAAGAGAGTCATGCTCAAATGCTTAGATTAATGAAAATTACTGTAATCAGACATGCTTTATTCTCGACTTCCCAGATAGGGTAAAGCAAAAACAAATGAACAAATTAAAATATGGTTCTCTTAACTGATAAAAAGAATACTGTTTTTTTTAAGAAAAATACATACCTTTGTATTCTTAAATTAAAATATTTTAATTTCTGTGTGTGTGGGAAGTTGAAGTGAAACTTTTTTCCACGTATAAATATTTAAAGGACTCACTGTCATGTATTGAAAAGACCATTACATGCCTGCTGCACAATAGGATGACCTTTGTCATAAATCAATTAACCTTGTAGTAAGAGGGTAGTTTTTTTCTGAACTTTTTACTCGGTTCCATTTACTAGGTTCTATATATCTATATACTACAGTACTACATTACCTTAACTACTATAGCTTTATCTAGTTATGACAGTTCTCCAGCTCTGTTCTCATTTAACACTGTCTTGGCTATTCTTAGATTTTTATTTTTCCAAACCCATTTTAGAATTAGTTTGCTCCTTCCAAAAGCAAACGAACAAAAAAACAACAGGGATTTTGATTCTGATTGAGTTAGAGCTACAGGTGACTTTGACTTGAATCTTCTAATCCATGGCCATGGCATATGCCTTTATTATTTAGGTCAAAAATACTTTATCATTTTAGCTCTGGCTGGTGTGGCTCCATGGGTTGAGTGCTGGCTTATGAACCAGAGGGTCACCAGTTTGATTCCCAGTCAGGGCACATGCCTGGGCTGTGGGTCAGGTCCCCAGTAGGGGGCATGTGAGAGGGAACCACAGACTGATATTTCCCTCCCTCTCTTTTTCCTTTCCTTCCCTTCTCTCTAGAAATAAATAGAAGAAATCTCTTTTTAAAATGTTGTTATTTTAAGTTAGAGGCATTATATATTTTGCATATATTTTTTATTTTCTATTGTAATTATAAATAGTGTCTTTTAAAATGTTTTCTCCCCATTTGCTTGCTTCTAGCATATAGAAATACAATTAGTCTGTTCATGTAATGTCTGTTGATGTAGTACCCAGTGAATTAAAGTTTCCTATTAGTCCTAATAGTACATAGTTTTTTAGGTTTCCTAGATAGATAATCATGTCATCTAAGAATAATACAGTTTCAGATCTTTCTTTCCAGTAAATCTTTTTTTTTTTTTACTTCTTACACAGAATTGCCTCAAGTAAAACATTGAAAGAAGTTGTGACAGCAGCATCCTTATTTTGTTTTCCTGATCTCTGGGGGACAGTTTCAGCATTTTACCACCAAGTACAATGTCGGCTGCATTTATATATATATATATATATATATATATATATATATATATATATATATTTAAAAATCATATCTAGGAAGTTCTCTTATTTTCTTCATTTGCTAAGAGAATGTGTGCATGTTTGTGTGTTTTATTATATTTTGCTGAACTTTAGCACATACTTTTCTGCATCTATTAATGGGGCCATATAATTCTGTGCTATTTTCCCCTAATACTATGGTTCACTAGGCTGATTTTCAACTACAAAACTCCCTTTGAATTTCTGCTATCAACCTCCTTAGACAAGGCAAATTATGCTTTGTATATATATTGCTAGATGGATTGTACATTTAAATGTGAAAAGTAACAATAAAGCTTTTAGAATAAAACATAAATGAACATATTCATAAACTTGAGTAGGCAAAGAATTCTTAAACAGTGCTCAAAAAGCCTGAAGACAAAGAAAAAAGAATGACAAATCTGACCATATTGAAATTAAGGATCACTGTTCATTAAAATGCATCACTAATAGAGTGCACTGTATGCCACAAAGTGGAAGAAAGTATTTGTAGCACATATATTTCACATGGGGCCACATGCAGAGAGAGTCTACAGACCAATAATAAAAGGCAGGCAGGCAACCACTTCAAAATTTGGGACCATGCTAGAATGGGTATTCACCAAAGAGAAAATCCAAATGACAATAAGCATATGAAAAAGGGATGAATATCATTAATTATCAAGGAATTGCAGATTAAAACCACAATGAGATACCATTATATACACTTCCAAATGACTAAAATGAACAAATACACACACTACCAGTGTTTTTAAGCATGGAGAGACTATCGTATCACTCATAAAAGTATAATTTTCATGTGCACTTTGGAAACTCTACTACTAGGCACACATGTAACAAAAATGTATAAAATACATGTAAAGAAATGTTCAAGGCAACACTATTCTCATTAGCTAAAAATGGAAAACTACAGCAATAGCCGCTGTGGTAGCCGGCCTCTGAGACGGTCAGCAAGGTCTCCACCTCCTGCTGTTCTCACTCTTTTGAGTAGTCCCCTGTCACATTGGAAAGAGTAGTTTCTGTGGCCAACAGAGTCCGTCACTTCTGAGGCTCAGTTATCAAAGACTGAAGCTTCTCTCTTGGAATCACCTTTCCCATTTCTTCTTTTCTTTCTTTTCTTCTTGTTCTTTCTTCTCTCTCTCTGTCTCTCTATGTCTCTGTCTGTCTCTGTCTGTCTGTCTCTCTCTCTCTCTCATAACTCTCTTGGGGGAGCCAGCTGCCATATCATGAAAAATACTATGAAGAGACCTATGTGGTAAGAAACCACAGCCTTCTGTCAACACACACATCAGTGACCTTGGAAACAGTCTGCCTCAGTCAAGACTTCAGAAATTGAGCTCAGCTGGCAGCAGGAACACAGTCTCGTAAGAGTCAAGAGCCTCTGAGTCAGAGTTCCCCAGTGGAGACCATCCCACTCCCAGGTTCCTTAGTCTCCAAAACTGTGTGAAATAATGTTTATTCTTTTACTATGCAAATTTATTGCACATTTGGGGTGATTTCTTATGCAGCAATAGGTAATTAATACATCCATCTACAACAGAATTGAAAATTGAGGAATAATCAGAAAAGTGTAATACTAAACAGCAATGGGAATTTACAAACCACGATTATATCCAAAATTATAGGTGAATCCCAAAATATGTTTAGTGAAATAAACTAAGCACCAATAAGTACATACATTGTGATTTCATTTTCATAAAAATCAAAAGCCAGTAGGCAAAACTAATCTGTAGAAATGGAAATCAGAATATTCTTTCACTAGGCACAAGGGGTCCCTAGGACTATTGATAATGTTCTATTCCATGATCTTTACTGTCATGAATGTGTTCATTTAGGAAAAAATGATCATTTTGAATGTTTATAATTCATTATCTTTCCTATATGTAATAAATACATTAGATTAAAAGAATATTTGGTGAATTTCTGTATAGAGGTATCTAACAACATGATGAACTAGTATTTGATGATAGTTTCTTTTTTAAAAAAAATATTTTATCTATTTATTTTTAGAGAGGAAGGGAAGGAGAGAAGGAGAGAAATATCAATGTGTGGTTGCCTCTCATGAGTCCCCTGCTGGGAACTGGCCTGCAACCTAGGCATGTGCCCTGACTAGGAATCGAACCGCGATCCTGTGGTTTGTAGGCCCGCACTCAATCCACTGAGCTACACCAGCCAGGGCTGATGATAGTTTCTTAAAACTACCAAATTACTTTATATGCAGTCATTTCTAATACTAATTCTTGGTAAGAAACCAAGCACAACATTGGGAATAATTTGTACCATAAAGACAATTCTCTAGGGAATTAAATTAATGAGGTTCTAGTATACCTTTTTATAATAATAAAATTTGGAGAATCCAAGACGGTGGTGGAGTAGTTA